ATCAGAAGGCGTCTGTTCCTTGGCTCGCGCTGAGGTAAATTGGGACAGAAAGTGACAGCCTTGGGTGTGGTCGGCCGGCCCGCTAGGCAGGCCCACGGCCTGTAGGAAACCCTCAAGCCTGAGGCGAAGGCCCAGGCGGTAACTCTGAGTCTGCTAGCCGTGACCCTGGGCAAGGCACTTCCCTCTCTGGCCCAGTTCACGGGGTGTAGAACAGACCCCAAGACTGGCATGGTTCTAGGATTCGAGGCTGGGGCAGTTTCTTCTTTCTCACCCCCAGCCCTTCTCCACCTCAGGGCAGCACACACTCGGGCAGGCGGGGAATCTGGCCAGGGAAGCCACGGGCCACAGACCATCCCCCAGCTCCAAGGCACTGGGACACCATTGGAGGGAGGGGAACCCCGGGTGAGGAGGAGGAAGGGCAAGGTCAGGTGAACCAAGAGACCCAGAGCCTCAAGGGTCTTGCTTCATTTGGGACAGACATCCGGTTTCCTCTGGTTTCTGCCAGGATTCTGGGGGCTTAAGGGAATGAGTCACGGGGGGGATTGGGGAGTTCCCAGCTAACCAGTTCAGGGCAGGAACCTGGGATGATGCCCATCAAAGTGTGGGGTGGAGACAGGAGGCAAGACCCCATTGTCCCTACCTCAGGCCCCTGGCCCCTCAGGAAGGGACTCAGGAAGGCAGCCTCCTGGGAGTTTGGGGGGTAGAAATGGGGGCAGCTAGGTTCTTCCCTCTCAGAATTTGGGGTCTCGGGAGCAGGTAGCTTGCGAACCCCAAGGGAGCGTGCAAGTGGGTTGCTCCAGCTGACCCGCCAGGGGAGGGAGTGGGGAGGGGCCGCCTGGAGGCCTGCCTCTCCCCCCCCCACACACACCCCTCCTAGGTCAGTGTGACCAGCCTCCAGCCTCCAGGGCTTTTATCAGTGGCTCAGCCTTCGTTCAGCGGTTTTGATCAAACACCCTGGGGCAATTTCGGGCCTGGGTGGGGCTGAGGGGAGGAAGAGAGTTTGAGGGGGACCAGACGTCAAAGAAGGATCAGGGATTCCACAATTTCACAAAACTTTCGCAAACAGCTTCTTGTCCCAGCCCCCCTGCATTGTCCTGGACACTGAATTTGCATAAATCCTGGGAAGTCATTACTAAGCCTCCATCGTGGCACCAGGTAATTTCCTCCCAGGCCTCCATGGGCTTCCGTATAAAGGTCCGCTGGAGCCGGTCCCTGCCAGAGCCCAGAGCCTGCCGAGCCACGCAGACCTGCGGCTAAGCCTGCTGCCCAGAGCCCCATGAAGCTGACGGGTGAGTGTCCTGGCCCCCGGGGAGGGAGGCTGGAGCGGCCGAGGGGCTGCGGCGGCCCTGGGCCCTGGCACGGGCCCCAGGTGGGAGCAGTGCGCCTGTCTCCTGAGCCCCCCGTCTGCTGTCAGCCCTTCAGCTGCTGCTGTGGCACAGCGCACTCTGGCTGGTGCAAGCAGCCGCCCCCCTGCGCCCGACCAGCTCGCTGCCCCAGAGCTTCCTGCTCAAGTGCCTGGAGCAAGTGCGGAAGGTCCAGGCTGATGGCACAGTGCTGCAGGAGAGGCTGGTGAGTGAGAGGCGCGGAGGGGACGCGGGTGCTGGACAGGGGTGGAGGAGGGAAGAAGCCCCAGAGGGCTGAGCTGCAGGGAGGGAGGAAGGGGTGAGGGTTGAGGGAGGGGAAGGGAATGGCGAGAAGACATCATCTGGGAGGCGCGTGGGAGAGGAGAGACCCAGGGGGAAAGGGAAGAACATCAGGAGAGGTGGAGCCGGGGAAGGCTGGCTAGGAACTGGGGGAAGAGGGTGTCTCGGGACGGTGTCTGGATGGCCAGGATCGCAGCGGAGGGCAGAATGGGGCTGAGCAGCCCGGCAGGACTGGGAGGGAGGGGAAGACCTCGGACAAATGGGGAGGACTTGGGAACAGGAGCAGCCGGGCCCCATCAGGTCCCCCTCACTCAGCATCCTTCCTGTCCCCAGTGCGCCACCCACAAGCTGTGCCACCCCGAGGAGCTGGTGCTGCTCGGACACGCCCTGGGCATCCCCCAGCCTCCCCTGAGCAGCTGCTCCAGCCAGGCCCTGCAGCTGGTGAGTTTCCAGAGGGGAGGAGGGGGCGGAGGGGAGGGAAGAATGGTCTGGAAGTCTCTCTGGACCTCCAGGCCTTGAAAGGAGCGCCCCAGGCAGCACCCCCTAACTCCCCTACTCCGTCCCCCAGACGGGCTGCCTGCGTCAACTCCACAGCGGCCTCGTCCTCTACCAGGGCCTCCTGCGGGCTCTGGCGGGGATAACCCCCGAGTTAGCCCCCACCTTGGACATGCTGCAGCTGGACATCAGCGACTTTGCTCTCAATATCTGGCAGCAGGTAAGCCCCACTGGGAGCGGCAAGTGTTAGGGGCCTGGACTGAGCTGGTCCCCAAAGACCAGGCTGCAAGCCTAGGGGTCCCAGTTCTTTAGGGCCAGGGTGGGAGCCTTCTCAGGGCCCTCTTGCTGCCAGCCCTTCCCCACCCTCCCTAGTGGAGGGCGGGAGCCAGGTCACTGGGCCCTGATGCAGACCTGGGTTCAAGGCCACCATTAACTGTGTGGCGTGAAGGGCCCCGCAGCCCTTCGCATTTCCTTAATCACGCCCACTCAGCAGGGCCTGAGTGCTGATCTCCTCTTTGCCCCCACAGATGGAAGAGCTGGGGCTGGCCCAGGCAGTGCCGCCCAGCCAGGGCACCATGCCAACCTTCACCTCGGCCTTCGAGCGCCGGGCCGGAGGGGTCCTGGTGGTCTCCAACCTGCAGAGCTTCCTGGAGCTGGCCTACCGCGCTCTGCGCTGCTTTGCCAAACCCTGAGCAAAACCCTCCCCAACCAGTGTATTTATCTTTATTTAATATTTATGCTTATTTAAATCTAATATTTAAAGACAAGGAAGAGCAGGACGGAGCCCCGGACTCCCGGGTCCTTCCTGCCGTCTCCAAGTTCCATTCTCCTGCTTGTGGCAGGGAGAAAAGCCCCCATCTTCCTGTCCCCTGGACTGGGAGGTAGCTATAGGTAAATACCGCGTATTGAGTCCTGTGACTGCTCCCTGGCCTGGCTCCACGGTGGGCACTGGGAAGAACCCCAGTGAACTCCTTACCCCAGCGGTACCCACCTTGAGGCCCCTGGAAGCATCAGGAAGTCTCCCATGTGGGAGACAAGACAACCCTGTTTAATATTTAAACAGCAGTGTTCCCCTCCTGGGTCCCCCTCGCTCTGGCCTCACCAGCTTGGCTTGCACATGCCCGGCGGGCCAGGTCTTGCTTCTCCTCACATCCCCTTCGCCACCAGCATTAGGCCCCACGGGAGGTGGAGAGCCTGGGCATCGTTTCTCATCTTTCTGGATGCCCTAGTGACAATGACAGGCTCCTGACGCCTGCCCCAGCCTCATTAGGGTCAGGATTCTGACTCTTCAAGGGCTGGGCAGAGGCTCATGTATCAGCCTTGCTGGGGGGGTGGGGGGGTGGGACTGGGAAGATGGGAGGGGGAGATGGGGGGGGTTATACGACGAGGTATATGAGAGGAATGCTCAGCTCTTCACCCTCCACCTCTGCCCCACTTTCTCACTGTAGCCAAACTTTGTGATAATAAAATATTTTGTTTGTCTCTGCTAAGTGTCTTTTCCTCCTTCTTGAGTCCAGCTGGTGCCCAGCCAGGGGTGGGGGGGGCGGGGAGTGGAATAGTGAATGAAGCCAAAGGGAGGGAAAGAGGAGGTGCAGGGAGGAAGGGGGCAGTCCTCTAGCTCATCAACATTGATGCCTTTGGCACGGATTTCTCTTGTACCTACTCTGTGCAAGCACCAGGCTAAGTGTTAGGGACACGGCAGTGGACAAGGCAGGCAAGGTCCCTGCCCTCACGGAGACCCAGCCTAGTGGGAAGACAGAAGGTAGACGGGCCACCATACTGGGAGAGGAGAACGTGGGGTTGGGGGCAGGGGGGAGTCTTAATAGTCCAGACGCAGACACCAAAGCAAGGGAGGATTTAATATTTGCCATCTTCCATAAACTCCAGCACACCCGCGCTCACCGTTGCCCACAGAAATAGAATGAGAAGTGCCCTTTACAGATCAGGCTCTGAGTTCAAGGTGACAACTTGGGTCAGAGCTCAAATTCCCGGCCCTGCACTTCTCTCCCTCAAGCTCTGCCTCTGATCGGGCCGGGAGCAACCTCATGCCACCCGTCACTTTCCCACTGGTCTCAGCCTCACGGGGCGGGAGGGCAGGTGCGTGTGTGAGGGAGAAGCAGAGAGTGGAGGGGCTGCTTCACATCACGGGCCGGAAGCACTCCTCTCTGTGTCCTCAGCCAAGACACACCTGTGGTTCCAGGGCGCCTCCACCAGACCCGGAAAGTCCAGATGGCCAACCGGTCCCCCATCTCAGGGCTTCCCCTGGGCTCCTCAGCTGCCTCCCACTTCCCCTCTCCATCTGGCTCCTTAGAAAGGAAGGTCTGGCTGAGCAGGGCCAGAACCCCCAGCTGCGTGGCTCAGAGCCCTCCCTCTGCTTGGTCCTGAAGAAACCGGGGCTTGGAGATGTGTGGAGAAGACAAGCAAGGGTTAAACAGATCCTGCCCCTCATCGCCCAGTCCTCTTCTGGAGAGAGAGCAAACTCGGGGCCAGTCAGACTCTGGGTGGGATTGGGTCTAGTGGGAGAGGGTCAGAAGGACAGGACACCCTACCCCAGCACCAGTGGGGCCTTTCGCCAAAACCTCTCCCTTCTCAGAGTTAAGTCTGACTTTGGGGTGTGGGGGTGGGTGGCACGCGTGCGTGTTGACTCCTTGTCGCCCAGTGCGGGTCTGAGGAAGGGAAGCCCTGCCCCTGCGGAGTGGACAGACACAGGAACCTGAGCCCAGCCCTCCTCCGTGCACCCCTCCCGCCCTCCTCAGCCACAGGACTGAGCCTCTTCCTAGGCCACAGCACATGGGATTCCAAGGAGATGATGTTTCCTGCCTCCATGGGACGTGGGCACTGACACCACTTGGGACTCTCACACAGGGACCCACAAAGATCTTTATTTACAAATGAGCTGAGGGGAACTTCCCTCATGTGTTACAAAAATATAAATATACATACTCTGCACCTGCAAAGTTCCCAGAGCTACATCTACTGTTGGAAGGGGGAGGCGGGCAAGGCAGGGGTATGGGGTGCTGAGGGCCCTGGGCTAAGAGCCAGGCTGCGCGCACTCTTTAGGCGCTGGCTGTGGGCAGAGGAAATTATGAAAGAAACTGGGAGACGTCTTAGAGGTCAGATGTCAGGATAAGGGAATGATCCAGAAATGACATAGGGCTCTTACATCATGTGGATATGAGCAATGATGTCTCATCTTTCCTCACTGTTCTCTTCTGAGGCACCTGGGGCTGTGGTCCCCCAGACGGCCCCTGCGGCCACCCCAAGCCCGTCAGAGCGCAGCAATGGCCTTGGCAGCCACCTGGCGGCCCAGGGACAGGCTGAGGTCCGTGATGGCCAGAACCACCTTGGGGCTGGACATGGCTGACACCTTCACCAGTTCTGATACCTGCCACAGACAGACAAATGGCTGCTCGCCGGGGCTGCCTGGTGGTGGCTGCCATGTCCGGGGAGGAAGGGCTCCTACTCCGAGGGCTGCCTCTGAACCCCAGGCTCTGCTGCCCCCATCTGAGCTGCGGGGGGCCCCGCCCGCACCTGGGGGTGAAGCACTCACGGTGGTAAAGGGCATGAACTGCAGGATGCTGCCCCGGCTGCCTTGCTCCAGGCAGTCCACACACTCCTCCATGAACCACTGCACAAACTGAGTGTGCGGGCCGGCCGTCCGCGACCCCAGGATGGAGGAGATGAGCAGGAACAGGTTGGCTGTGCGGAACGGGGGGAGAGGGAGCACTCTGTGAGCAGCGTCTGAGAAGACGTGAGGCTGGGAGGTGGTGGCACCACAAAGCAAAAAGAAAGAAGTGCTCAGAGGGCCCCCCTATGGGGGGGGGCCAAAAAGAGGAAAAGTGGAAGGAAAGCGAGAGGGACTGAATGGGGGCCTGGGGGTGACAGGAGAGCCAGAGCCCGGGGAGATGGAGGAACGAGGTGGGGACACTAACAAGGGTGAAGGGGCCCCAAGAGGCCCCCCTCTAGCTGGCAAAGCCTCATCGGGCCGGAGGGCGGTGGGAGGACTCACCCAGGACTCGGTTCAGCGGGTCTCTCATGTTAACCGTGTGCAGCTGGGAGGCTGACAGGGAGCTGCTCATGGAGCGGTCGGCTGCGGGGCCAAGTGGAGGGAGACTGAGGGAAAGGCCCCCCAGCTTCAAAACCCCTCTGCCCAGGGGACACCCTCATCTGTCAGGTGTGGAGCCCCCCGCCCCAGGGCGGGGGTCCAGGATCCAGAGTCACAGAGGGGCCCTGAATACAGGTATCTCAGAAGGAGATGAGAGAGTACATTTGGTGAGCACTGCCAGGCGCCAGTCTGCGGGCTACACACAGATCGGGCCGCATAATCTTCACACCCCCACTTCACGGACAAAGAAACCGAGCCTCAGATTTGCTGAGTAACCAGCCAAAGGTCATAAGGTTTGTGGGTGGCAGACGTAGCATCTTTCCTCTACTCAACTGCACAGTTGGCACCCTAATGCCCAGGAGGCCTTAGAGAAACTTCTAGACACAAGAGAAATTTCTGGAAACAGGAAAAATTAAATGCCATAGAAGAAGCCCTTGGCAGGGAGAGGTAATAACATCAAGGGGAGCCTGAGGGGGAGGGGTGCTCTTTAGGCAGGAAGAGCGGGGAGCAGCCCCAGCCCCAGGCCAGGCCACAGGGCCTGTTTCAGGGGAAGGAAGGACAGAGCTGGTGAGTCAAAGGCACAGACTGCCCAAGGTAGTGAACTCACTTGTGGTGAGTAAAGGGTAGGGAAGGGACGGCAGTGTGTCCAGGGCTGGGGGGGCATCTGGACAGAAGAGCTTCAGTCTTTTGGGCGAGGTGCCCGGCAACCTCTCTGGTCTCTCCGCAGGTAGAAAACAGAGCAGCAGTGGGGGGCAGAACGGGACAAACTCCCACCACACTCTGACCAGCAAAGATGCCAGTAGCCAGTTCTACGCCAAGCAGCCTTTCCAGGCAGGAGTGAGTTCCCAGAAAAAGAGCCCACCCAGCCCAGTCTGCATGCTCACTGGGACTCGAAAGGATGTTGGCGTCTTCCTCATTGGAGCTCAGCAGTCGCATCAGCTTTGAGGGCTGCATGTCATCCAAGGGGAAGAGACTGATATAATCCTGGAGGGCGAGAGAGTCACTATTACCCGCTAGGCCCCAAATTTCCCGATACCAGAGAAGAGAGCTAGAGCTCATACAGGAGGAAGAGTCCGGTCCCCACAGGCCTCAGCTGACATCTCCAGCAGGGCCAGCTTCCCTCACCTTCCCACAACCCCAATGAGACACCCCCTCCTCACACAGTCACCCCTGGAGACGCTCAACCAGCTGAGCCGTGACGCAGCTGCCCAGGGGCAGGGCCCGGGCCTGGGAAGGTGCCTCTTACCCGCAAAAGGCTCAGTACATGTCTGCTGAGCACATGAACAAGTGAATGGAAGGGTCCCCTACCTCAATGTCTTCACGGTGTCTCTTCTTTTGACGGGAGGACGCCTGTCCCTTATGGGAGGAATAGGAACTCAGGGCACACCAGACGGCTAGCCTGGCAAAGGGTTCCAGGAAAAGAGGGTAAAGTCAGGGGGCCCCAGAGACGCCCTCTGTGCCAGGGCTGCCAGGGGTCCCCCACAGCCCAGCCTCCCGGGGCGGCCCGAGGTGAGGGGCACCCGGCACTGCGCCGTGGGGACCTGCGGCTCCGAGAGAATCCTACTTGGCAAGAGCGGTGCCGGGGGGGTCCATGAGGCTGTGCCACTTGGAGGAATCGGTGAGCAGCCCCGGCAGGATGTGGCCCAGCAGGACCAGGGTCACCTGCTGCATGTCCAAACAGAAGATGGAGTAGAGGAGCTCCACCGCCCGCAGCGTGTGCTCCTTCCGCGTCTCCTTCAACAGCTCCTGGACGCGCAGGGCAGGGAAATTAGGAGCTGAGGACCCCAACACGGGGTTCCCTGAGAGGGGACACAGGGGCGGCCCCAGGTGCAGCTCCAGCCCTCACTCCGCATCAGCCTCTGGCCACCGCTCCCTGAGGAGGTGGCCCCCCTCAGAGCCCAGGAGCCCCGAGACCAAGCCCCGCGGACCAGGCTGGGTGCAGGATGCTGGTTCTGCCCGGTATTCTCTCAGCTGTCTCCCTGGGTCTGAGGAGACCTGCTCCCCCAGCCTAGGTCTCCCAGGTACCTTAATCAGGTTGTTGCAGAACCAGTAGACGCCTCCCATGTGCAGCAGGGTGTCAAAGATGTGGATGGAGCGGCTGTCCACCCAGCCCTTCTCCAGCACCTTGGCGAATATGTCCGTCAGCACCTCCTTGATGGGCCGCTTGGGGGGCAGCAGGTTCCAGTAGGGCATTGTGTCCACACCCGTGGACGGGAACTTGATCTGGGTGGCTGTCTGTTGCAGCACGTCAGCGCACATGTGCTCCAGGATCGAGCTCATGATCACCACCCTGGCGGCCGGGGAGACGACCTGACGTTCAGGTTCAGGCAACACCAGGTTCAAGAACAGAGCAAACATCCAGGCCAGACTTTTCCCAGGACTTGAGTTACGGAACTATTCCTGGGGAATTAACCCCATTCTTCGCCGAGGGAGGAGACAAGAAGAAGTCACAACCCCCTAGCAGACCTGACCCTACCAGTCCGGCTTCCGGCAGGCCGCTCACCTGCTGGGCACAAAGCCTGGGGAGTGGGGGTGGGGGAGCAGTTTGCTCTCCTCCCCCAGGTTATTCCAGTGATATATTCATATTTCCTCTCTCACTGTCTCCAACTCTCCCCATCCCCCAGACCTGAGCCCTGCCAATCCCTGGACATAAATAAATATCATCACTTCCCTCTGTGCTGAGTGCTGGGGGGGGGGGGGGGGTCCCCGCCCAGCCCTGGCCTCCTCCCAAAATAAACTGTTACTTCCAGGACAGGGGCCCAAGGGCTGCCCCACTCGACTCTTCCCGGCCTTTGGTAGCTGGGCAAATAGAAGCGTATATCCAGGAATGTTCTCACGAGCAGTCTTTGACTGAGTTAACGCTCACACTGGGGTGAGTGCTCACCACTCCTGGAACCCTGGGTGGGTCTAAGAGCTGCTGCAACTTTCAGCGCCGCTTTCCCACCTGCATGATACACCCACGGGCGTCCCACTGTTCCTCACCCAGGGTCAGGGTCAGGGTGCTTAGCACGGATTCTGTCAGAGCAAACCCTCCATTACTCGTGGGAGGAAGGATGTGAGGGAAGAAGAGAGAAGGAGGGAGGAAAAAGGTCACAACCTCACAGGCCCTCTCCCACCACATCTTGGCACGATGTTCCCACTTCTCCCCTCTAAGGCACCTGGGTGGCTACCTGGGGAGTCCTCTCTCCTAGCTTACTGGTCGTGCATGCTCACTGCCTCGCAGCACTATGCCCAACAGCCAAGAGGTGGAAACTACCCAAGTGTCCATCCACCGATGCATGGATAAACAAAACGTGGCGCATACATACAATGGACTATTATTCTGAAGGGAATTGACACAGGCTACGACATGGATGAACCTTGGGAACATTATGCTAAGTGGAACACGCCAGGCACAGAGAGACAAGCACTGCAGGATTCCACTTACGTGGGGTACCTAAAGTAGTCAAATTCAGAGAAACAGAAAGTAGAATGGTGGTTACCAGAAGCTAAGGGAGGTAAAAGGGGTGAACTGTTACTTAATGGGTACAAAGTCTCAGATTTACAAGATGAAAAGGTTCTAGAGATCTGCTTCACAACAATGCGAATACCTCACACTGCTGAACTATATACTGAACTAAGATAGTAAATGCTATGTTAGATATTTTTTACCACAATTAAAAAAAAAAGTTATTGGATGGGGGAATCAACTGACACCACTGAACTCCACACGGATGAAGTCACCAGGGAGGTCCTCCAAGCCTCTGAAAAGCCAGGGCAGCAAAACGTCACAAGAGAGAGGCGGGGGGAGGATGACGAGGGTGGGTGGGTCCAAGGCTCACAGATCTACGGATGGGCTCCTGGGGCCTACACCGTGCCGCAGCTAAGACAACCACTCTGTTCTTGCGGTAAGCTAGTTCTCCACAACTTGAGCTCTTTGAAGACAGGAATCCTAGCAATTCGGGGGCTGTGTTTCTGGGACACAGCAGGTGCTGGGCCGTAAACACTCCCGGCACAGAGACACACACTCAGTGTTGCTGAGTCAGTGTGTGAACACGTAAATAAGAATGGGAGTGAGTGAGCAGCCTGTCTAGGAACGCTAAGAGGAGAGGGGGCTACTGGTTACTGGAGATGCCGCCAGCTCACAGCAGGCCCTCCGCGCTCCCGGAGGGAGGGGACAGGTTACTGACCTCTCGTTGTAGAACTGCAGAGTGTTCTCACTATACAGCGGCCCCGCCAGCTGGCGGATCATCTGCAGCGACTTCTCACGCTCGTCCAGCCCCAGCATCCGCACATGGGCCACGAGCCAAGCCACAGCACATACTGCCAGACTGCATACCTTCCCCTTGATGTTATCTGTGATTTTCTGGGGGGAGGGGAAAGGGTGGCTGAGGCCACGCTCTCCCCCTCCCTGACCATCACTTTCCCCGGCCTCTGTGGGCAGCTGAGTTTAGCAGGCGGAGACCTGGACCACATCCCACACCTCTTTTCCCCACAAATATGCTTTTCCCGAAGTTACCTGGGTGGGAGGGAGTGGCTAAGCCTATGATTACAAGGAAGATCAACATCCAAGCATGAGCTCCTGGATTTAAGGGTCTTCTTGTTCTTATAAAGTGTAACAAGCTATCAAACACTGGCTCTGTGTCTCAGGGAAAAGAGAAGGCTACTGGAAAGGTGGGGCTACCTGGATGGACTCGAAGGCCAGTACCCCATTCTCCCAGGCATTGAGGATCTCCAAGATGGCCGCTGAAATGCTGAGACAGGCTTCGTGCCACTTCATCTGCCTATGAGGGGGTAGGGTGGGAGAAAAATCACCACAGGGGAGTGTGGGATGGACTGAGGGACAGGGTCGTGGCCTGCCCCCACCGCCACCCTTGGAGCGGGCACCCGGCCACTGACACCAGCTTCATCTCCGAGGAGTTGTTGAGCAAGGCCACCAAGGACTCCACTTTGGTGGAGTCAGGCCAGAAGCAGGGGTGGTCAGGGTTCAGGATTTTGCCCTCCTCGGGCATGCAAGTCTGCATCCACGTTTCAAAAAAGGGCACCTGTGCTCCTGTGCTTGACTCGGACAGAATCACCTGGAAAGGAAGGGGGCATCAGCAGCCAGTGCCCTGTGCCTCAGTTTCCTGCCCCACTGCTTCTACTTTCCAGCCTGAAGAACTGAAGACGAGTTGGTTGAAGGGAGAAAGACGGGGGCTGTGCTGCCACCTAGTGGTGGGTGTGGATGTGACACTGAAGGATTCAGGATGGGACCCAGGGGGCATCCATGGACCCGCCAAGGGTGGGGGCACCTGCATTCTGCAGGCAGCAGAACGAACTGGCTTGGGAGACCGGGGGGGGGGCCAAGTTACTGGTCACTTCCTTCCCCTTCTCCCCGCCCCTAATCCTGGTGCCCCTAATCCTGACTGTTCTCCTCTCTCTCACCTCTGAACCATAGGTCTGGGCCACATGGCACAACATGAGGAAGGAGATGTCGAAGAGCAAGGCGCGAACGGAGGCTGCTTTGGCTACGGAGAACAAGATGGCTGACCCCACAGCCCCGAACAGGGCCCAGAGCCCTCATCTGAATCGGGAGGGGATCAGGATTTGCCTCAAGGAAGGTCAGTGACCAAGTGGCTCCTTCAAAGCTCTGAGGCTCAGAATCCTTTTCTTGAGTCTCAATTAGAACATCATCCCTTCCTTGGAACCAAAGACTCCTGATACCCTCCTTCTTCTTCCCAGTACCCAGCCAAATCATAAAGGGGGAGGGCAAGAGACAGGTGGTTTTGGAAGAATTCTTTTCCCAGCATTCCCCCCGTCAAGGCTCCACAAAAACTTCAGTCAGTCATTGCTCAGAGGAGAAAACAGCCTCCCCAGGAGAAGCAACGGGCCCTCTGCCCTCCCCCATTCTCTCCCTCCACCACTCCTCCCACAGTGCCAGGTCTGGGGGTGCACAGAGCTGACTTACCGAGTTCTTCATTGCCGTGTGTGGTAAATTCATTCAAACTGGGGGAGGAATGGAGACAGGTCACAGCAAGCAGGGCAAGGGGTCAGGGGGCTACACCTGTCCAGAAAGCATCACTAGAGTCTGAATTAGGGGTTAAACTTCAAATGAACACCACCGCTACACAGAAAAAAATGCTTTCTGTTTTTAAAAGATTTCCAAGGCAGGGCGCCTGGCTGGCTCGGTCAGTAAAGCATATGACTCTTGATCTCAGGGCTGTGAGTCTGAGCCCCACAATGGGTATAGAGATTAGTTAAAAATCTTAAAAAAAAAAAAAGATTTCCAAGGCCCAGAGAATGGCTCACTGGATGGAACAAAGTTCTGTATACCAAATTCCAGGTCAACCAAAAAAGTCAACAGTGTTTGAGAGCCCCTTATTAACAACTGGGCACACCCGAATCCCTCCACATCCACCATTCAATGCCTCTCATCTCATCAAACACCTCCACCTCGTGCTCAGCTGCAAAGAAAAGAACACTCGACACCCAAAGACCTGGCCCTTCCCCCAGAGTCTCCCACTGGGATGCTCTGGCTTGTCCTGGGCATCTCCAGGGAGACCCAGACCTCAGTGCCTTGCCCCTATTCTGCGACACTCCCTCCTTCAGACCTGCCTCCCTCACCCTGGACAGGGCCCAGCCTTCCTTACTTGATGAATTTCCGGGCGAAGGATTTAAGCTTCCCCGTGGCAGCAGCGGCAGCCAGCAGCAGATCCAGACTCTTCCCGGACAGCATGTGGCCCAGGACTCCTAGCAGGCCCTCTGGGGACTTGGAGTGGTCTGCATCCATCGTCTGGGGACAGGACAGGAAATCAAGTCCTGAAGAACAACTGCAGAGCCCCCGAGATAGAGCCCGACCACAGCTTCCCTCCCTGCATGTCTCCATTAAATGGCATACCGCAACCTCCATCTGCAATTCAGTCTACATCCTTCTGACTCCGATCTGGAAAACCATTTCCCAAATCTATCCTTGCTCTCTGATCCATCCCTCCCAACTAAACTGCGATCGTGGTAGTGGGGGTGGGGAGGGTAAGATTCTCCACTGCTTCCGAGCGAGCAGGTGGAAGCCCCCCTACCACAGGGCCTGCCCTCCAAGTAATGCTCAACAAATGTGAGTTTTCTTTTTCTTTTTTTTTTTTTAAGATTTTATTTATTTATTTGAGAGAGAGAGAATGAGAGAGCACATGAGAGAGGGGAGGGTCAAAGGGAGAAGCAGACTCCCTGCCGAGCAGGAAGCCCGATGCGGGACTCGATCCAGGGACTCCAGGATCATGACCTGAGCCGAAGGCAGTTGCTTAACCAACTGAGCCACCCAGGCGCCCCCAAATGTGAGTTTTCAATGGCAGCTTCCCTGCCTTGCGTGTTTCTCTAGCCAAAAGATAGGGAGGTCTACGGCCTCAGTTTATCTATCTGGAAGCAGAGGCAAAAGTGGAAAAAAGGAAGAGATGACCCTGGAGGCAAGAGAAGGGCACACTCACCTTAAGGATATTCGTGACAGTGGGCTCCGCCCGGAGGATCAGCCCAGGATTGGGCTGGATGTTGGCATTTTCTCCTGATTTCAGCTGGGGTGCATGCTCCCGGTCTGCCGCGCTGTGGCCAGAAGCCGTTGGCCAAGAGAAGGGAAAAGAAATGGAGACTGGTTCCTGACGTGCTCCCTAGTCCGGCCCCAGAAGCAGAGGCTCAGGGAAGGTGGGGAGCACAGGAGAAGCTCTGGGGGCGTGGTGATGTTTATGAAAGCATATCCACTGTTGCAATTGCTTGTCTGTCACTAGGTAATTACCTCAATTTTGAAAGTTCATTTCAGATTAAAGGAAGATTTAGGATTTTTACTTTGTTCACAGAGGAGGGTGGGAATTCAAGTGCAGCCCGTAAGGGTGCAGAAGCGTGTCTGCTGCTCCTGGTAACCCCAGGCATGGCCCCAGGCACCTGGACGGGGTGGGGGGGGCACCCAGTGCTCCCGGGTGGACACGAGGGAAGGAGAGCAAGCAGTCCCTCGGCCAGCCTGAGGGAGCTCACGCTTACCGCTTGGCCATGAGGTTGGTCACACTGGCTTCAGACAGAAGCCCCTGCTTGCTACATTCTTGGAGTAGGAATTTTGTACAGTCACAGCTGTGAGGGAAAAAGATCATGAGGGGCCGGGGCACACGGCAGGGATTATTGAGGGGAGGGAACAACAGGCACCTGCCTGGTCTCCTCCCTCCTTCAGGACGAAGAATGTTTTGAATGCCTGAGGGATGGGAGACGGGCTCAGGCACTCAAGGGCCTGAAGGGGCTCAGGCTGCTGTCTCCTGCCCCTGCCAAGGGGCACGAACCAGGTGACAGCTCCCTGAGGTCTGTCTGGCACAGAGGAGTAGGGGAAGAGCCCATAACACCTTCCAGTAGAGCGGGGGTGAGCAGGGGAGTTCGTACTTGCAGCGCTGGTCAGCTTTGTCCAGCAAGGGTGTGAGCTTCAGCAGGAACTCAAAAGCACAGCTGACGTCCTCGGTAAAGTCCTACAAAGAGCCAGGAGCTGCCATCTGGCTTCTAGGCCCTCCAGTCCACCCATAGCTTATGATGCAGGTTCACAAGGACACCCCGCTGGATAGAAACCCCGACAAGCCGGTCACACCCACCACCGGCTTGCAGTGACACGACAGGGAGGAGTGTAGAGGACCAGCACTCTACACTAGCCCTGGTCACCTTGGCCACCTCGCGTCCTGTGTGGCCCAGCCGCCTCTGTCTGGAGAACGGGTGTGTGCGCGTGGACACACGCAGATGTCAGGTGCACTCACATTTCCAGCCAGCCCCCAGGTGCAAGGACGCAAGACTGACCCTTCCCTTGCCCCGTTCCTCCCTTGCCCTTGTGGAAACAAGGATTCACCAACTCCTTTCTCCAACTTACCTTGTCTCCGTGACAGTATTTCTTTAACTTCACCAAAACCTGTGGGATCTAGAGAGTGAGGCAAGAGGAGAAACAGGAAGAGCAATTTCTTCTCTTTCACCCAGAACTAAAGGCATCCCCTCCATCTCCCTGCTCCAAGCAGAGAGACAGAAACCCTTCCACCCTGGAAATGAAAGCACTCTCAGGGCCAAGTTAGAAGCTGGCAGGCATCCAAGCATCCGGTGCCTGATGCCTACAGGACACAGGGACCCCTCACTTCTGCTGGCTCCACAAGGAATTGCCATAAGCCAAGGAAACCCTGATTCAAGGACTGGGGCCACTTCCCTGGCTCCCATAACTGCCCTGTGCCAATCTGGCTGATGACTGAGCTAAACGGCACCTGTGTGCTAAGAGATGGCAGGCGCCTGCCAAGTCAGCTAAATATAGCCCTGGGACTTTCAGAGAAAAGACTCGATGGGAACTTGCGCTGGGGGACCTGGCAGGCTGCGGACGATGCCGGTGGGGAGAAATGAGGGACAAAGATCCTGGGTGTCGCTGCTTTTCCTGAGAACCATTTCTAGACTGGGCGCTCTGTTGCTCCCACGTCCCAGGTACCTTAACCAACTGAGCCACCCAGGTGTCCCTCACGTCCCAGGTACCTTGAGGAAGGTGAAAGCTGTCCACTTGAGCTCCTCTGTACCCTCGGGAGACTCGATGAGCCCCACAAAGCAAGCTTTCCAGATCTCCAGGACAAAAAGTGGGGTGGGAATATGCTGTGGGATGATCCGAGAGTGAAGCCTAAGAGGGTGCCCATCCCCCTTCATCTTCTGAAGGCCCCAGGGTGGGGGGCAGGTGGGGGCTGGTCAGGCAAGCTCAGAGACGGTGCAAACAGGTACTGCCCCACTCCAGGGTGAGAAGCAGGGATGTCACGTGAAATGGCACCACCGCACATGACAGGGATCCGCTTTCCACCGCGAATCAGGAGAAATCCCCTTTCTCCCAAGAAGTACCAGAAGAATCCTCCCCATTGCCCCACGTAGCCAGCCCGCCATGTTGAAAGAGAAGCAGCTCTGGGCCCCCCACCTGCATACGCTTCACCATCATCAACTGTTCCACCAGGGGCTGTGTCTCGCCTGTCAAGTTCATGGTGCCCTCGAGCAGGACCACCGCATGGACCGTGGGGTAGCCAGTCTTATGCAGCTGCTCCGAGTGCACAGCCAGCATTGTGGGGATGCTGAAGGGAACAGATATACAGGGGACAGTGTGAGGAGCCAGGAAGAGGTGGAGAGCAGGTGAGAGCAGAGGGGTGGAGGCCAGGGGCCACAACTCCCCACCCACACCCTGGGCCCGATCAGCCTGGGAGCCAGGTACCTCCTAATGAGCGTGCCACACTGCTCAGCCTGGCTCCGGAGCTGGGGGTTGCTGAGACTGGCCAGGATCTCCCCAAGCTTCAAGAGAGAATGCTCAATGGCAGTCCAGGAGGCTGGTGAAGAAGAGGAAATGCAGACACACGATGGGAAACAGACGAGAGGAAGACACTGGCCCTGAGCTAAAAAACTTTGGCCCCCCTGGGCCCTCAAAACCACACATGGAGGTTTCCCCTGAGGATGACATGGAGGCCAGGGGCCTGAGGGCAGCATGCACTCTTTCTAGAAGGGGGGTGAGCACCAACAGTGAAGGCCCTAGAAACTAGCCCCAGAGGCCTGCCTTCTAGTGGAAGCACGCAGCCGACCTTAGAGCCTACGTATGGCCTAACACAGGCAGGGGCAGAGAGAGGCACAGCAGGGCTGGGGTCCAGTGGCTGGAACAGGGAGGCAGCCGCAAATCGCATCAGGAGTGGCCAGCCTTGCAAGTGGGCACCACTCTCTACGGCTGTCGAGCTAGATTCCTCACCAGCCTTCTGGATTCAGCCCTGCCTCACCCTGCTGAGGCCTCTGCTCTCACCGCCCACCCCCTCTGTAGGTGCCCCAGCTTGGCTCATTGCCACCTCTCAAACTCACTCTCCTCAAGCCTTTGTTCAAGCCCGGATACTTCAACAACTCACCCAATTAGTCCAACCCACTGACCTCTCCTCCTAAATGCTTGAAATGGTCTATACCGCATTATTTTGCACTTAATTCTGAGTCACTTATCCTAGTTTACAACTCCACAGGGTCAAATGATGAATATTGGCACCAACTAGCCCGTTAACCTCCATGTGGCATGGGGGAAAAAAACCAAAAAGATAAGACCCGAGATCCATTAAAATTAAGTTAAATATTCATTTACTTTTCAAGCCACTAAACATTTGTCAAGGGCTCAAGATAGGTAAGACACTGTCAACGCAGCCCATTTTTATGGAGGGATCATCTCTCTGGACTTTTGACAGTAACAAATATACTTTGAGAAGTAACAAATATACTAATCCTAATAATAAATTCTCCAAACAGGTCCTGAAGACCTGGGTGTGACCCATTCTAGCATTCTTGTTACTGGGAGTGTAAGAGAGCCTTAGATGGTCTCAAGCCACTACAAGACCATGGCCTTGGGCCCCATGACCAGAAACACCAGAGTCTCCCCTCCCACCAGGTGATCTGTCTCCTCTCAGACTCTGGAGGGTTCCAACATTTCACATCTGCACTTGAATCAAGAGGTGCATGATCCAACAGGCCTGACAGCAGACAGGTACCATGTTTAAAGGGACGTGTTAGGCAACACTCAAACCCAAGAGTCATGTGCTTTCAGACGAGTAGTGTGAAGACAAACACAAGGATGGATGGTGTGCTTCTCTCGTCCTCTAATTTCTTCCATGTATGTTAATGTACTGGTCTTGCTCCCCACTAGCATGTATGTTTGTTGAGGGCAGGGACCCTGCCCCATGCTCCTTTGGTAGCCCCCCGCCCCCCCGCCCCCAGCACCTGGCACAGTGCTGGGCGTACAATAATGCTCAGTAAATACCTGTTGGTTGATTGGCTCGGGTGCCACCCTGCCCAAGTCCCTGGGATGTATGCAATGCTTATGGGGAGAAAAAAAAGGAAGTGGGATGATTTCAGATCCTCCTGGAAAGAAGTGGGATGGCATCCTGCCTCTCCCCTCTCAATTAAAGAACCGGCTATGGGAAGAGCGGCAGGCGGGGCTCAGGGGACCCAGGGGGACATACAGGCCTCCTCTAGTTTGGCGATGTGGAGCAGGGCCCGGTTCTTGGTGCTGCTGAGGGTCTTCTCCAGGCGCAGCAGACACATGGCAAGCTGCTTCTCCCCGGCCGCTGGAGCTGGAGCGCCGGCCTCCAGCCCCTCCCGGAGCCGCTCGGCAGAGGCTGCAGTACAGCGCAGCAGCCAGTGGAGGGCGCTGAGAAGGGCCCGGCACAGCCCGATGCACTCCTCGGCTTTGCCATGACAGCTACCGGGGAAAGGGTGCAAAATCTGTCTCCGCTCCAAAGGCTGAAACATGACCCACACCACTGTTCCCCAGAGTGGCCGGCACACCCCTCCTGGGGAAGAGAGCTGGGAAGCTAGCAAAGTCCTAGGGAAGACAGCCCCGTCGGCTTCCACCGGGCAAGATTTCAAATGAGCCACTCCAAAGAGAAAAGGCCTTTTGTCCTAGGGGACTAAGGAGAAAAGGATGGGGATGGGTGGGTGCAGATGAGCAAGAGGGAAGAAGTGCGGGACCCCATCGAGTTGGTGTCAGTCTATGGACTAGGAGCTTCTCCCTGACACTAAGATAATGCTGGAAGGTTACGAGCCCTGCCATTACCTCAGTCGGTCACAAAACATGTCCATGATATCCAGCAAAGCCTGGACACACAAGTCCCGGGAAAAGTCATCAAACTGTGGAAAGAACAGTAACAATACTACGGAACATCCCAGTCAACCCCTGGGCTCACACATGAGGCAGATGGCATATTCAGGATGCCTGCTCATCTTTCCTCCAACCTCAGGTTTCAGACTCGGCATTCTTTCTTTCTTTCTTTTTTTTTTTAGATTTTATTTATTTATTTGACACAGAGAGAGAGACAGCTAGAGAGGGAACACAAGCAGGGCGGGTGGGAGAGGGAGAAGCAGGCTCCTGGCTGAGCAGGGAGCCCGATGCAGGGCTCAATCCCAGGACCCTGGGATTATGACCTGAGCTGAGGGCAGACACTTAACGACTGAGCCACCCAGCCGCCCCCGGCATTCTTTCAACATTGGAAATTGGCTCCTAATATCCAGCCTCCACTTGCCAGGATCCCCCTCCCTCCAATGGAACACAGCAATGCCATCATGTGCTGCCTGTCCAGCCTCAGAGTTTGCATGATCAGAGCAGTCAAGGAGGTGGGGTCCCACCTATGACTATTATCTCTCTGCTCCCCCTGCCCTCCACCTAGCTCATGAGTGGCTATGGTCATACCTTACTGATTGCTGTGAGGACAGAGGAGTAGGACACCATCTGGAGGGAAAGAAGAAAGACAAAGTTCAGACAAGTGTCACACAGCTGACAGGATCAAATACTGACACTTAAAGTTTCTGCAGCTCTCCAAAAACCTCAACCCCTTCAAGAGGCCTTCCTCAACCCACTGAAAGAGAGGCATTGTCCCTATTCCTGCTTCTATCGCAATCACCGTAAATGACATCATCAGCATACACCCACTGATAAGATGAGGGTGGGCATTCAAAGGTACCGAGTTCCATGTTCACATGCCACTCACTGTCCACTACATACAAGGTTCAAATGACTGTTGGTAGGCAGAAGAATGGACAGGAATGAGGTTATGTTACTTTACTCCTACAAGTTCTATAAAGGGTACTTTTATTTGGACAAGAAATGGAGACGAACAAACATTCCCTGCAAGGAACAGGTAGCACCTGCACCTTGAAGTAGGTAGGGAATTTCATTATGCACACTCTTACTGATTCTCTAGGACCTGCTCTCTAGGACTCCTCCAGGACACCTTCTCTGATCAATCCCAACCTCCCACCGAGAAATTCTTCCCCATGTGCTCCAACTAATTGCCTTATACCCATCACGACACAGTGGGTGCCTGTTGCCCCCACCAAACCAGGAGCTCCTTGAGGACAAGGACGCTTTTACTCAGTGACCACCGTGAACTTGCTGAGAATGTCTGTAGAATGAGTAAGGAAAGACATACCCTGGATCAGCATTTCTCAAAGTAGCTTCCAAGGTTGCACTGTTCGATAGAGAAGCCATAGCCACATGTGGCTGTTTAGGTTTAAATTAAATAAAATTTAAAATTCAGCTCCTTAGTCAGACTAGCCACGTCGCTACATGTGGCTACGGCTACTGTATCGGACGGCACAGATGTAGAGCATTTCTGTTACTGTAGCAATTTCTACTGCATGATGTTATTCCAAAGATTCCCCAAGATGTTAAAAAATTTTACACACACACACACACACAGAGCTTCTGTGTGATATTAATTTGAGAAACTGTGGAATAAATAAATATAAAGAGCTTTCTTTACTATAGAGTATCTCTAAATCATAATATGCGTGTATACAATGAGAACCTCCAAGATAAACGGAGACAAAGTAAGCAATACTTTCCAAGCTTATTTGACTAAGGGAAATCCTATCTGAACTGTGAGCTCCCTGGGAACAGAAATAGTGGTGAATTTATATCTGTTTCTCTAGAACCTAGCCTGCGCCTAGCACATAGTATGTCCTCAGTAAGTCTTTACTGCTTTGGATTGAATTCTCAGAACTAGCATTCTGAAAAAATTGTACTTTAAAAATAAGCCTCTGGGGCGCCTGGGTGGCTCAGTCGGTTAAGCGACTGCCTTCGGCTCAGGTCATGATCCTGGAGTCCCGGGATCGAGTCCCACATCGGGCTCCCTGCTCAGCAGGGAGTCTGCTTCTCCCTCTGACCCTCCTCACTCTCGTGCTCTCTGTCTCTCATTGTCTCTCACAAATACATAAATAAAATCTTTTAAAAAATTAAAATAAATAAAATAAATAAACCTCTGTTAGTAAAACCTATTCATCACCATCATAAGATTAGAGTTGTAGTTCAAAAGAAATAACTAATGTGTCCTGAATGAAATTAAAACCTACGGAAAGCCTTCTAAGTTGTCATATTTTTAAAAAATAGTTACAGCATGCTGATAAAATATGAGTAATACTTTAGAAAGTAGTTACATTTATATACTCAACACCAGTGGCAAAATACACCAAAATAAAAAAGCAGAATACAATGACAGAAACTGTCAGGATAATCACCAGCCTTGTGGGCTGTCTTCCCTAGAGGAATAGAAATTTCCAAAGATTTAAGGAGAAAGCGAAGTCAGCCTCAATGGCCTTAGTATGGTGAATTTTACATGCACGGCAATGCCTTCTGTGTATAATTTCTCCAACAGAGTGCTCTCTGTTCAGACACCTTTAACTGCTATTCTTAAATAAACAAGAGCAAAACACACAGAGGACTTAAATACACAATTAGCGTTTAGCGCCGCTCTCAGCAAGATGTTCTGTGAACCCATAGCTGGTGTCTGATGGTGATCAAAAAGTTGGGAGCCTGCCTGGGCAGGATGACCATAACGTTCCAGGCGAGTGTTTGTTTATTTATAGCTGATGTCCCCATGGCAAGAGCTTGGCAGAGACCTGAACCTTGTTGGATACCAACCTGAAGGGGGAGCTGGATGTTCCCACTGAAACGGACCCCAAACTACCAGAAGAGCAACTCCCCCCCCCAATTCTGTATGTTCTGAGGGACGCTGTACGTTCTAATATATTTATGGTCTCCAAATTCAGAATTCCATCCAGTAAGTTTTTGCTAACAGTTATCAATAAAGCACTGCTACTCTTGAGACCTAAAAATACTTTCCACATGGCGAACTGTTACTGTTTTTCACAACAGTATTTAACCTCTTTCACTCTTAATATATCTATCAACATAGGAGTTCTAAGCTACCACCAGCCCCTGAGGTGGGAGCCCCTCTATGTGGCCCACTGCACACCTGGCTAGCCCAGACTGACCAGCGGCTGCTCTCTCCTCTCCTCTGCTTTTGATAGTAAACACCCCCAACTACTCCTAAGTGCCCTCCACGTGCACAGCACTGGACTGAAGAGCTCTTGACTCTGAAGGAAGAATCAATGCCTAATTTTGCATAGCACTTTACAAGTACTGAAGCTCCCGCATATACATTTATTTCTCTCACTGTTACTTCAGCCTTGCTCTCCCTCTTGCCTTCCCATCAGTGTTTACACATCTCGAGATTCTTCTGTCTTTGAGAGAACTTCCCACAGACCCCCCATTTCCAGTTAACCACCATGCTCTCTCTCCTGCTCTTAGACTTCTTTTCAGACTCTTATGAGGAATCCTTTTCCTATGTGTGTTCCCTACATGTGATTGGTTCCTCGGGAATTTGGCTTGGGTCATTTTTTTTGCTCACTCTCCACCCTCTCTGGGCACTATTGTCCATGTCCACAGCTTCAATTACCATCTGCAGTTGACAACTCCAAAATCAACAGTACCAGTCTAGGTCTCTTCTTCTAAGTTCCACACAGGTATGTTCAACTGCCTACCAAGTATTTTCTCTTTGATAGTCCACACAGGCCACCTTACTTAAGAAGGCCAAAATCAGGGGCGCCTGGGTGGCTCAGTTGGTTGAGAGTCCAACTCTTGATTTCAGCTCAGGTCATAAGCTCATGGTCATGGGATCAAGCCCACATTGGGCTCTGTGCTCAGTTGAGAGTCTGTTTGAGATTCTCTTTCTCCTTCTCCCTCTGCCCATCCCCCTGCTCGTGCTCTAGCTCTCTCTCTAAAATAAATAAATCTTTAAATAGGGAAGAGGGAAAAGCAGGCCTCCTGCTGAGCAGGGAGCCCGATCTGGGGCTCGATCCCAGGGTCCTGGGATCATGGCCTGAGCCGAAGACAGGCGCTTAACGACTGAGCCACTCAGGCGCCCCTATACATATATATTTTTTAAAGATTTTATTTATTTATTTGACGGAGAGTGACACAGCGAGAGAGGGAACACAAGCAGGGGGAGTGGGAGAGGGAGAAGCAGGCTTCCTGCTGAACAGGGAGCCTGATGCGGGACTCGAACCCAGGACCCTGGGATCATGACCTGAGCCGAAGGCAGATGCTTAATAACTGAGCCACCCAGATGCCACTAAAAATATATATGATTAAAAAATGTATTAAATATTTAATATATATAATATATAAAATATATTTTTAAAAAAGAAAAGAAAAACTATTTAAAAAAAAAAAGGCCAGGGGCACCTAAGTGGTGCAGTTGGTTGAGTGTCCGACTCTTGGTTTCGGCTCAGGTCATGATCTCAGGGTTGTGAGATCGGGCCCTGCGTCAGGCTCCACACTTGGCGTGGAGTCAGCTTGGAACTCTCTCTCCCTCTCCCTCTGCCCCTCCCGACCATGCCTGCTCTCTCTCTCAAATAAATAAATAAATATTTTTAAAAAAAATAGCCAGGGGCGCCTGGGTGGCTCAGTCATTAGGCTTCTGCCTTTGGCTCTGGTCTTGATCCCAGGGTCCTGGGATCGAGCCCCACATCGGGCTCCCTGCTCCGCGGGAAGCCTGCTTCTCCCTCTCCCGCTCCCCCTGCTTGTGTTCCCTCTCTCACTGTCTCTCTGTCAAATAAATAAATAAAATCTTAAAAAAAAAAATAGCCAAAATCAATGTCCTCTCCCCCACTCAGCTGCACCCCAACAACGGCCCTACACTTCTCTCACTGTCTCCTTATGATCCCATCAGCCATGATTTCTTCCTCTCTCTCATGCCCCTCATCCTGGTAATCACTAAACCCTCTCATTTGCCACCTCCTTGTTCTTGAATTGATCTTCTCTGCTGCCACTTCCCATGCTTATGCTAATATCATCTCTTACCTGAATTACTGCAATAGCCTAATCAGGAGTTGGAAAACCATGGCTCAAAAGCCAAATTGGACCCATCACCCTCTTTTGTAAATAAAGTTTCATTGGGGCGGGGGCGGGGGGGGGAAGAGCGCCTGGGTGGCTCGGTTGGTTAACCATATGCTTTCAGCTCAGGTCATGATCCCAGTCCTGGGATCAAGCCCCATGTTGGGCTTCCCTCCTTATCGGGCTCCCTGCTTAGCAAGGAGTCTGCTTCTTCCTCCTCCTCTGCCCCTCCCCCTGCTCCTCTCTCTCTCTTGCTCACTTTCAATCTCTCAAATAAAATCTTTTTTAAAAAAAATAATAAAGTTTCATCAGACCACAGGCATGTCCATTTACTTATATACTATCTATATCTGCTTTCAAACTATAATGACAGAATAATGGTGACAGAGACCACATGGCCTGCAAAGTGGAACGTATTTACTATCCGATCCTTGGCAAAAAAAAAAAAAAAGCCTGGGTGCAAGGCTGGCTCAGTAGAAGAGCATGTGACTTTTCATCTCAGGGTCATGAGTTTGAGCCCCAGGATGGTGGTAGAGATTACTTAAATAAATAAA